AAATAAATAAATTCACACACACACACACACACAAACACACAAAAAAAAAACCAGGGGGGAGAAGAAGACATAACAATTACAATTCCTTGATGTTGACACGACAAGCAAACAGAAAGTACATTGTTGGGTGGGAGGGGGGAGAGGGAGGAGGGAGGGAGTTTTCGGTAATGGGCCACAATAATCAACCACAGTGTATATCGACAAAATAAAATTTAAAAAAATAATAATAAAAAAAATAAAAAATAAATAAAAATCAGCTCTCCTGAACTTTCGTCAAGTTGCTTCTGCCAATTCAATACCGTGGGATGGAAAAGGAACCTGTTGAGTTGACTGTATACGGCCAGTTAGCTAGGCAGCTGAAAACGATGCATCTATGGGCATAGCTACAGCTTCATATGGAAGATTTAACAGAGATTAGCTAAACTAGGATATAGGACAAAGCAATATTTTATTGAAGAGCATAGGTAGTTTTATTTATGTATCATTGGGTTTATTAAACATATTTGTTATAATCTAGGACTTACAGTGAAGTTTTTATGATCAAAAGGGATGTCTACTGTGAAAATGTGGTATAGCTAATTATGTTGTCTATTCATGGCTAAAGATATCACACAATAATTTCCAGTGGCATCAGAGTTAGTTGACACCACGATATTCCCCCTTCTCTTTTCCTGAGAGTTGGCAGCTATGAGATCTGAGCTACGAGCCCACAGTTAATCCTTACCTTCTAACCTCAATTCACATGTCAGAACAAGTCTTCCATCCTCACATTCCTCTGCCCCTCATCCCAGTGATTACTGTGATACCAGAGCAGGGAAAGGTTTACCATTTTGGAAAGATTTTTAACACCTTGTTTGGATGAATAAGTGAAGAATCTTTCTCTATATAACTTAATAATAATAAGCTAATATAAGCCCAGTTCCTCTTTTTCCCTTTTGCGATTGCTAACCCTCTGAACTTTGTCCATTTTTGTTAATACCTGCAACTTTATTCCCACTTGTTTTTAAGAACTAGGACGAAGCTGTGTGCTGTGGTCCCATTTCTTATTTTTCAGGCTATACATTTTTAGTCTCTGTCAATCCTGTAGGTTGTATAGTTATTTGTGTGTAATAGGCTCCTCCATAGCAATATGCTGTGGAAAATTCCTTTTGACAAGCCATAGCAAGCTTAATTGAGTCATGATGTATACCATTAAATAGCTTCCAGGAAGGCAAACAGACCTCTTCTTAAGGTGGCATATGCTTTCACTAAGTTTCAACGTGACTATATGGTCTCACATAACTAAGAAAATTACTTTCTTCATTTGTGAAGTTACAGAAAGGTATGAAGTTAATATCTGAGTTAGCAAATTAAATTTTAAAGAGATATATGCTCTACCAGGTTTTCTTCCTCCTTGTATTTAGTAAAAACTATTTTTTTAAAAAACTTAGCACTGAATTACAGGTCAGTTTTTAAGTGTTTATTGTTTATTTGCTGAGAATAACAAGTCAATTTTTTTAAAATTTTAAATGTCACACATTAAGTAATATCAGTAGAAACGATTCTGTCAAAATAGTATCTCTGATTCTCTCCCACTGACCTTGCTGTCTGAAGCCATTCCAAATTCTGACATTACTTTTAATGTTTTCAGAATAGATGCTGCTAGGGAGCTTCCAGCCATAGTAGTAGATTATCAGCATACATTAGTTAACTTGTGAACCTACATCTGAATATTTTTCAGATGCCCATGGGATCTGTGTGATATTATAGCTCCAGTGTCACCCTGAAAGAATAACATCAGTAATAGGAATCATTCTTACTTCCCTCCCCACTGCAGCAATAAGGCAGGAAAGGGAGATTGTAAACCATTGATTTGAACCATATAAATGGGTTGAAAATAAATTGTGCTATCTGCTCTATTTGTCCCCAAAGCCAAATTTACCTAACACGTAATACAAGTAGTCCTATTCAATTTCATCAAAGGACTTCTTGGCATCTAATAAAATTACTGCTATTGGTTCCAATTTTCTTTGTATTCCAGATGAGTTGCAGTAGTCTGTGCAGATTACCTGAAGCTTATCTCTCAGGCACAAAGGCCTCTTCGATAAGGGTCTATTAGATTTGTGATTATTTAGTCATGTAGCTAGTATTCATAAAGCTATTATTTTATACCTACCTACACCATATGAAAGGATATTTTTCACAATACTGCTAAGGGAGTAATATGCAATCTTGAGTATAAGAGTAAATGGATATATGTGATAGGATAAAGAACTGTAGGCCATCTTGATTCCAAACCACAGATAATATCTGATGCTTTAAAAATCCAGCACAGACCATTTAAATGCATTACATTTATTCATAGTCTATTTCTGAAACTAGTGGCTGTTCAGTGTACTGATGGCAGAGAGAAGTTAATGTGCTGGTAAGCAACCTAAATTTTTATAAAGCTATTTTGAAAGTAACACAATGCCTCAAAAAGTAATATAAATTACTCCTTTCTTTTCAATTGACATTGCAAGGCTGCTCCAAATTTTCATTATTGAGTTCAGCATTTGCAAAAAAAAAAGGAAGAAGGCACACAATATTTTCATGGGAAATTTCTGGGTATTATAATCACAAGATGCACTTCTTTAGAACATGCCCTGAAGTATTTCAAAGGTTTTTTTTTTCCCCCACGCATTGTTTAATCCTTTGATGCCCTGGGAATAAGGAATGGCATAAAAGTGGAAAACTGAACAATGACGAATAGAGATAAGCTAGTTGATAATCTTGAGGGTTCCTATAACCTACACTCTGTGAGACAATATAGTATAGGGAGAGCCTTGGGCTTTGGAGCCAGTTTTAATCTTGGCTCCACCCTTTACTTACTAGTATAGCCTGGACAAGCTACAAACAACAGAGCTTCAGTTTTCTCATTCAGAAAAGGGGATCATAATACTCACTCCTGGAGTTGTTTTAGAGATTAAAAAAGACAACACATATAAAGTATGTAATCCAATATTTAATGCTCAATTAATGTTAGCTATTTCTTTATAATTTTTGCTAATAATAAAGTGATACATATGTGTCTGTATGTGTGTATGTGTGTATTTTTCAGTAGTCATGGGAAGGTCTAATCCAATGGCACAGCAAGTATTCAGATTAAGGAACATGGCATTATACTGGAAAAATAATGAGACAACAAAGTGCACTGTGAAAATTTACTCTGTGATTAAAGTACACAGAAGAAATCCACTTTTGAAACCTCTAGTATCTGAAGAAAGGATTTCAAATAGAAAAATCAAACTGATAAGCATAAACTGAAAAGAAAAAAAAAACGCAACTTTTCCATCATTAATCTTCTGTATTAACTTAATATACTTGATTGAGTCTGAGAGATCTAGCTTTACTTTAAACTTATTGGTTAGATTTTTTTTTTAAAAAATGGCTAATGGAATGAGGGTACAATAAAACATTCTTCATAGGCTAGTACTTCCCAACTATATGAACCCAGTTATACAGGATCTCAAAACAAAAAAGAGTGAGCAAAAATAGCCTTTATTCAAAATGCACAGAATGTAAAGAAAAATCCAAAAGTATTCAGCTTCAGCAGAATTTTATATTTCTAAAATCAGAAAAAGTTTTTTAAAGTATCTAATTTACAAATAGATATAATCTTTTGAAGTATGCTGCACAGTTTTTCCTGTTAAAACAAATTTGTTTGTACTCTAAGTGAAGTAATTCTGGAGAAAATGCATGATTCAAAACTAAAGCTAAAAACCCTAAGTACATATAAAGAAATGTACACAATATTCCCAGGATATATGTAAATAGGAAGAGCAACTTAGTAAATGGTAGTACGTTTTGGTACTAGCACAATCCACTCTTCATTAGGCATCTCCCCCTTGTGCATTAATATGTGATGTCATACTCTCATATAAAATTTTATAACAGAGTGAAATAAAAAGCCCCTCCAGATTGCAACTGTAAGATAATCAGATTCCAAAGTTCTCATTATGACTGCAATTATGTAACAAAACCCTCCAAATATAGTTCACTTATTGCAGTTATTAATCATTCTGATTTTGTTTCAAGTACTTGCTTTATAGCCTGCTGGATAGACTCCATTATTCTACAAGCTGAATGTTGAAAGTCAAACATGTGCATGTGAATCTGCTGGTTTAAAGGCCTTTCAAAATAATTTACCCTTTCAATTTGTATTTGTGAATACCAAAAAATTGGAGGGAAAAAAAAATAAAACTGGTGTCAACAGAGTCACTGACCTTTGAAGTAAACAGAAGATAGGCTTTAATGGAAAGCAACTTCACAAATTAAGAAACCTATTTTGCGAGAACTAGAAATAGTGCTGCTTAAGGAGTTAGTCTCAGAATACCAATCAGTTCTTATAAAAAAGGAGGGGGGGGGGGGACCTGAAAGAATCTGTACATTTGATAAGGAGGAAAAGGGAAGAGCGCAGGCAAATGTATATTTTTAAAGATTCAAAGCACCAACATTATGTATAGAATGTAGCTCTAAATATTTTATGCATAATACCATATATTCTGATTAGTTTAACTATAAAATGCCAAGTAAAAGACAGATTTATTATACAGAACAAACACCATCCGAACCACCTAAATATTGCTACACTTAGATTTCTAGGAAAAAAATACACATGAAAAATTCTCAAGCCTAGATTCTGAGATGCTATAGTATTAACTAAACAGGATTCCAAAGAACTCAGGGAATGTGATGCATAATTATTTAAATATTAACATATAGAAAGCACAGAAAAATAAATATAATAATACATCAACATGGTTTACAAAACACATGTCACCATTTTCTTGTGCTCCATGATTTTTTCAGTTTGGCTACATACATTGGGCCCCAGGTTTTGCCTTTATCTGGAATCACCAAAAGTCCACATTCCTGGCCAGTAGGAGCAAATGTGAAGTCTTTGGAGCAAGTACTTGCTATTCCCTTAATGTCCATAGGCATGATGTTATTGTGGGAGTTTAAAATTTCACTGATCACATCTTGATTTTCTGCCTTGGAAAGTGTGCATGTGGAGTATACAAGTAGCCCTCCAGGACGTAAGGCCTTAACTGCAGACCTGTGTATAATCAGAAAAATACAGATTAATTAGGTACATTAAAAGAAAAGTAGGAGAGCAAAGAAGATTACATACTTGGAACAGCCTTCTTCTGAGTCTGAATGCAATAACTTTGGATGTTTTTTAGCCTTAAGCCTATTTCTTTCTAACTTATCCATGGATGACTGTGAAAATGGTAATCAGGTTAAGCAACATGGAAAAGACAGAGAGATTCTGTTTGACTGACTAGTTGTTTTGTTCTTTTAAGGACAGAAGGATGGGGCTAGAGCATGGAATAATGGGTTTGTCTTTGAATTGATGGGAGTAAAAGTAAAAACAAAGATATTATTTGAAAGCATATATAAAACATCACTGATTCCATACTCCCACATACTGCAAGTTGGACAACCAGGTAAAAAGTTGGAAGGTTTTTTCTTTCTTTTTTTTTTTTCCTTTTTGTCTTTTTTCGTGTCTGGCAACGGATCGCAACCCTCAGTGTCACGCCCGTACCGGACCGGGACCGGCAACGGGATCACAACCCTCGGTGTTGCGCCCGCACCTCGCTCAGCCAGTGAGCGGGAACCGGTCTGTATGAGGGATCCAAACCCTTGGCGGGAGCGCCGCCGTGCTCCCAAGCGGCGCACTATAGCAGTGCGCCACCGGGCTGGCCCTGGAAGGTTTTTTCTAAGAAAATTGAATAAACTATTTGAGGAGACCTAAGCCAGCCTCTGTGGGTGTTGCCCCCAACCAAAGACCTATTCTATCTTGAAGGGAGCCTTCAGAGTAACAGCTGGAAGATCTCACCACTAAAGTAAACCTCTAGTACTTTGTCTCATTATTAAAAATGTATAACCAAGTATTGCCAGGCAATTAAAGATGAGAAATATTTAAGCAATGTGTAAGAGAAAGGACAAAATAAACAACAACAACAAAATGACCTAGAAAGAAACAGAAAACTCAGGGAACAAAAGAAAGTAAGACCAATAAATACACAAAGATCAGTGATCAGCGAGGATATATAGAACCCATAAAACAATAATAGAATGTCATGAAAAAGGACCAAGAAAAGAACTCTTAGAAATTAAATATGTATTTACCAAAATAAAGAATATTATGTAGAAGTGTTTGGAAATTACAGTTGAAGAAATCTCCTCCACCCCTCACAAAAAGGAGAACAACAACAGATTGACTGAAAATAAAACAGGAAGGATCAATCGAGTAGGTCCAAAATTCAATTAACGGGAGTACTAGAAAGGTAACATAGAGAATTGGGGGAGGGGAGAGTTAAATTAATATAATAATAAGAGATTTTCCAGAAATAAGATAGAATATTAACCTTCCGGTTGAAAGAACTTATCAAGAGGCCAGTACATTCATTATTTACTGAGCATCTGTTATGTGCTGGGCATTGTTTTAGGTGTTGGGCATATATCAATGAATGAAACAGAACAATAACAACAAACCTTTACCTTCATGAAGTTCACATGCTAGCTGAGGGAGATAAAACATGAAAAATAAATGTTATGCGCTGAATTATGTCCCCCAAAATTCATATGTTGAAATCCTAACCCCCTGTACCTTAAAATGTGACTGTATTTAGAGACAGGGTCTGTAAAGAAATAATTAAGTCAAAATTAAGTCATTTGGTGAGCTTCAAAATAATATGACTGGTGTCCTTACAAGAAGAGGAAATTTAAACACAGAATTACAGAGGGAAGACCATGTGAAGACACAGGGAAAAGACAGCTATCTACAAGCCACGGAGAGAGGCCTCAGAAGAAACTAATCCTGCCAACAACTTTATCTCAAACTGTTAGCCTCTGGAGCTATGAGAAAATCAACTGTTGCTGTTTAAGACACTCTGTGGTACTTTATTATTGCAACCCTAGAAAACTAATATAAAATATATACACACATATAGAAGCACATACATATATATATATATGTACACACATATATACATATACACACGTATGGATGTGTATGCATATATTTTTATTTAGTATGCAATTTAGTGATAGGTTCAATGGAGAAAATTAAAGCAAGAATAGAAGGATTAGGTATGCTTGGATGGTAGGAAAATTGTAATTTTAAATAGGATAGTTAGAATAGGGTGCCATTTCAGAAAGTGACATTTGAACAAAGACCTGAGGAGGTAAGGGAGTGGGCCAAACAGATATCTGAGAGAAGAGAATTCCACAGCAGTGGAATGGCCAGTGAAAAGACCCTGAAGCATGCTTGGGGAAAGAGGCAGCCAGTGTGGCAGAAGCAAGGTGAGCTAGGGGTGGTAATATAAGATAAGATCCAGAGTGTTAAGAAGGGCGGGTATAGAGGTCTTGTGGAATACTGCAAAAACCTCAACCATATAATGAATGAAAAACAACCATACTTACATATATCATTGTTAAATTTAGAACTTCAAGAATAAAGAGAAGAGGCTAAATGTCTCAGAGAGAAAATGGGTCATCTATTAAGGATCCAGGAATCAGATGCATTGGTGGAGTAGTGCATTCCACATCATTTGAAGAAGCAACTTACAGTGAATTCTATTTGCAGACAACCCATCAAATATATATATATATATATATATATATGAGGTATACCAAAACTTGAAGGTATCTGATGACTCAGAAATCTTACCTCTAGCAAAATGAGGAGGTAAATAAAGAATGAAGAGAAATGTGATCCAGAAAAGAGTGAATGCAACAGAGAAGAGTAATGAAGGGAGTGAAGTCTCAGAATGAGAGTTGTGCAAGAGGCATAAAGGGCAATTACTCCAAACTGGAAGAAGAAGGAGGTCTCCGCAAGAAGGGAGGTCTATCCTGGAGAATGTTCCATGTGCTGATGAGAAGAATGTGTCTTCTGTAGTTGTTGGATGAAATGTTCTGTAGATGTCTGTCAAGTCCAATTGATCTAGAGTATAGTTTAAATCCTGTATTTCTTTGTTGGTTTGCCGCCTAAATAATCTGTTCAATGTTGAGAGAGGAGTGTTGAGGTCCCCAACTATTATTGTATTGGGGACTATCTCTTTCTTTAGGTCTAATAATATTTGCTTTATATATCTGGGTGCTCTGATATTGGGTGCACATATATTGATGACTGTTATATCCTCTTGCTGGATTGATTCTGTTATCCCCAAATTAGTAGACAGAAAGAAAGAAAGAAAGATTAGAGCAGAACAAAATGAAATAGAGACCAAAAAAGAAATATACAAAGGATCAATAAAACAAAAAGTTTTTTTGAGAAGATAAACTTGACAAACCATTAGCTAGACTAACTAAAAAAAGGAGAGGACCCAAAGGCAAAGAACCAAGGTATATGGGCTGCTTCTGGAAGCTGGAAAAGTTAAGGAGGTTCTCCCCCAGAATCTCCAAGAGGAATGCAGCTCTGCCAGCACCTTGATTTTAGCCCCACAAGATCCGTTTTGCACTTATGACCTCCAGAAGTGTAAAGGTCATAAGTTTAAATTTGTGTTATATTAACCCACTAGGTTGGTGGTAATTTGTTGCAGTAGCAACAGGAAACACTTGCACACACCTGGTAACGTTTTTTGTTTTTTGACAGCAACACACTAAGGCATATGCTGATTTTGCTAAAATTATGTAAGTTATAACTACACTCATTTTGGATCATTTTCTACTGACTATAGGTATAATAAGATTTTCTAAAAAAAAAAAAAATCACTGGGCAAGGAATATATGTAGTATTTGAGTGCAGATATTTTTAAACTCCCACCAAAAGGAATTTTGGGGTCCTAAGCAAAGCCAATGCTTAATCAAGTAAGTATGAATTTTTTCTCATTAAAGTTGTACAAAAGTACATAGACGCCTCATCATTTACAAATAATATGTTCCTGGCTTGATGCAAATTTAAATGAATCTCCATAACGTTGCCAATGTTGGCTGATTCTTCTGCTTTGTTTTCATTCCAACATTTATAATTTATCTTTCTAAAATTAGGTTGGTATAACTTAACTGCCTGTATTAATTTCTAACAGAGGAAATTCTGTGTGGCAATACGAAAGCTTTTTTACAAATTGGGTTAATCTAAAAACCCTAGGGCAGGGCCGGCCCGGTGGCGCACTCGGTAGAGTGCGGCGCTTGGGAGTGTGGCTGCACTCCCGCCGAGGGTTCGGATCCCATATAGAGACCGGTCCGCTCACTGGTTGAGCGCGGTGCGGGCGCGACACCCAGGGTTGCAATTCCGTTACCAGTCATGAAAAAAGACAAAAAGGAAAGAAAAAAAAAAAACCTAGGGCAAAGTGTTAGGGATTCCTGTTGAATGGTTGTTGCTGTTTTGCTACTTGGTTGTTGTTTAAATACCATTTTTATCCTTTTGCTTCTAACAATTAAGGATTTCAAAAGTACCATAAATTTGCACTCACAGATCAAGGAAAGCAGGCAATCTGCAAAAACTCACTTCCAGGGTTGACAGCTAAGGTTTTTCTACACTCAGAATTATCTTATGCCATAGATGACATTTTTCTCGTGAATTGAACCAGTCCATATTAGGTCCACCCCTAGTTCTGTAGAAAATATAAAACTATCACTATAATTAGAATTTTTCAATACATATAATAGTTCCTTCATTTTCAATACATAAATGGCAATGGGTACTCAATTTTAATTAAGGCGAGAATATTCAACAACTCTATACTCAGATTAGTTCAGTGATTTAAAACGAATACTTCTAGTCTTGGTCTTCCAGCAAAAACTTAAAAGATGTATTTTACAATACGCTAAATAAAAATTAATGTACTTTGAAAATATACAGTACCCTGTCCACTAAAGTAGTATCTAGTATAAATCATCTCCTTCCACAACAATTCACACATATTTTAAATTAATCCATAAGAAACAAGTAATTATCATCAAGGTTTCATCCAAATCATAAACAGGACTATATATGCATTTTTAGGACAATTAGACAGTAGGATGTGAGAAGGCTTGTTTCAGGAGAGAAATGTTTCAATCAGAACAGAAGAAAGATACTGCTTAGTAGGTCCTAACAAGACCACTAAG